TAGCCACACTTCTTCATCTGTTTGATGCTATTACCTAGAAATGCTGCTATCTTTTGTGATATTTTGTGTTTTATCTCCTACGCACCTTTGTTTATGCAAACCACAGAAGAGCTTCTGAAGAAATTATTCCCTTTTCTCCCTGTTATCTTAATGTGAGAGGAAATTGCGGGGGAGGAAGGGGAGCGGGCTAATTCATGCTGTGGTGCACGTTTACTTCCCCACGGATGGGGGCTGGTTTGTGGTCTCCCCTTTCTTCCCTCTTTCCTTATTTTCTTCAGGAGCACTGCCTTGGACATTACAGGCACTCTGATTCCTTTGATAGAGAAGTAAGGGTGCAGTCCTTGCCCCCCTCCCCCATTATTGCTGCTGAAGCCTACAAGAGATAAATAGGAGACAGTTTTGTACCTACAGGTAGATGGCGGTCTTCATTTTTGTCCCATGAGTGCCTGTTGGGTAGAAGGGATGCTCCCACTTGGGCAGTTCCTCTTGTGGAGGGGAGATTGATCCCTCAAGGATGGGGAGGCCTCAGGGCAAGCCAGGATGGAGCCATGAACTCCCAGGAGGGGAGTATCTTGAACTCGCGGGTGGTTCTCACCCTGGCACATTGCATGTAGGCTGGCTTGCCCTGGGCTGCTTGGAGAGCAGGGCTTGTTCTGCAGTGTGCCAGGGTGCTGCCGCCGCAGCTCGCCTCAGGGGTGGCTCTGCTGGAAAGGGTGGATTGTGCTCCTACAATCGGCGTGTGGGACTTGCAGCTGACGCAGTGCGTTTTCCAGGCTCAGCAAAGCCTGCCACTTGTTTAATAATTAAAATATATTTATGAAGTGCCATTTGCGGCTCTTGACTTCATTTCTTTTTCAGTGAGTTCTTAGAAAGTCAATTTTCTGAACATGACTGGCACTTCAGGATATGGTTTAGTGGGCATGGTGGTGTTGGGTTGATGATTGGGCTTGATGATCTTAAAGGTCTTTTCCAACCTTAATGTTTCTGTGATTCTTAGTCATGATAATGTCACATCTTTAGACAACTGGGGCTAGTGCTGCTCTCGTCTGGCTTCAGGTCATCTGGTGGAGAAGTCATCACTGCCATGCACCTAGCAAAACTGGGGTCTCTGTTTTACTTCAGTAATGTTCATTTGATCAGACAAGAAAGAAGAAAAAAACCAAAACAAAACAACAAACTCGTCCCTTAGGCAGAGCTGGAGAAAAGGGCCTTTGTCTGGCAGGAACAGGCAGATGCTGTGGAGAGCTGCAGCCCACGGCCCAGCTGGACTGCTGCCAAATACTGCTTTCGAAGAGCTATCCAAAATCCGCCACGCACCCAGGTGTAAGAACTGTCCTCTGTTTGCTTACCGCAGGGTGATGTCTGTAGGTGTTTTGTGTTCCCCAAAAGCACCCGGGCTACAGGCGGGAGCAAATGTCCGTGCAGATTGGTGGTGAAACTCCCTGGGGCTGCAGCTTGCTTTCTCTCTGTAAACAGGAGTGCGGCTGTTTTGTTTGTCTTTCCAAGGTTCTGGGGGAAGGGGAAGCGCAAGATAAGGTTACATCTGTCCTAAATCCATGACTTTTTACAGAGGTTGAAATCCCAGCTGAACACATCTCTTTGCTATGTAGAGAGAACAGTTTAATAATTCAAGCAGACTCCTTGTACCAACACATGTCTGCAATTAGTGCTGTGGCTGCCAGTGGGGTGTGAGGATAGCAGGAAGCTGGCAACGGAGCTGTCTACAGAGGTATTAAAAACAAAGAAAAGAAGAAAAAAGGCACATTTTCAATGCAAGTGCTCTTTTATCTTTTTTTTTTTTTTAAAGATGAACTCTCTAGGTGAAAGATGCCAAGCTGAAAGCTGAAAACAATTGCTTTCTTTTACAAGGAAATACATATACAAGTTCTAAGAGTAAAATTCTCAGTTTCCTCCCTAAATTGCCCTTTCCTGTTCCTGAGTGCAGAGGAGGTTGCTGCCTTATCAGAACTGAGGGTTATTCTGTGGCTTTCCAGGTCTGGAAATGGCTCAGGACTGCAAAGGTACGTGCGGAAGCAGAGAGGGGAGCGCGGAGAGGAGGAGGAGGAGGAGGAGGACTGGCAATGGGAGAACATGCTTTGGAAAGACGGAGGGAGCAGCTTAGGTGTAGGTGGAAGTTTCAGGGAGCTGGAGGCCTGTCTGCTCCCAAATGGTTTCTGCTGTAGCTGCTGCTCAGATGCCTTTTCTTTTTGAATTCTGTAGGCAAATGGAGCCGCTTTCAATGAGACAATTGTTTTCTTAAGTTAAAAAAAACAACAATCAAAGCGAGGTAGCTTTATGCGTTCACTGTAGTACAGGCCTGTACAACATACAAAGGGTTCCTGTAAATCAAATGGTGGTGGTTTTTGTAATCACTGAGGAGTCCAGATGTCTAAAATTGTCCGTACCCTGAGTTCGGTAGCTGTGCAGTGTGACCTGTGGCAATTGTCTGAGGTTTCTCTATTGACTGGTATTTAAAGTTATATCACAGACCATTAAAAATAAGATTAAAAATTATAATGAAGCTAGAGAATAACTTTAAAATATGATTGATCATTTATTTGCTATCAGACAATTCTGTTGTAAATACAAATTCTTTTCTTTTTCACAGCTTACTGCTTTGCAGATGCATGTGAAAAGGAGAAAACACAAATGTTGATGAACATGTTGAACATCCTTCCCCTCCCCAAGGTCCTCTTTCTCTCTGGTTTTGGGAAGTTGAATGTTTGTTTCCTTCTTTGCTTTTCCTGAAGCTGTTTTAGGAAAATTCCCCATTCAGAAAGGAAAAAAAAAAAAAATTCTAATGTACCTAACTTTAATCAAAGGGAAGAAGTAAAATAACATTTGATATTAATTTCTTCCATATCAAAGCAGTAATAGCAAGAGCTAATAGAAATCTTCATTTGTGAATTTGCCAAAAATAGCTGAGTAGCTGGTGGTCATTTTGTCTTTCAACTGAGTCTGTTAAATTAGAACATCTAAATAGTGTCAGACTAAGTCAACATTTAGGTATGATATTTTCAAGGATAGCATCCTCAGATTGGATGATGCTAGTGATAAAATAGCTGTGTGTAGAAACCATGGTACAAATATTGTAGCAACCCTATTTCAGCATCTGCTAGTCATCAGTCAGAATACTGCATGCAAGAACTAGAAAGAGGAAAATGTTCTAGCAGCTTTAGGAAAATATGCAAACAAATATAATTGACTCTTGCCATTAGCCTGAATGAAAAGAAGTGTGTCGAAAGGGGAAAAAATTGTCGCTAAGAAGGGCACTTTTATCCTTGCAGATGCTGGGAGGCAGCCCTGGATATGAAGTGCTAACAAGTCCTTGGGTATCAAAATTAAAATAAACAAGGCTTTCTAAGGTGCTCATGACTATCTTGCTGAATCATCTGAGAGTTTGTTTAGTAGTGTTATCATTTACAGTAAGTAAATATGAGGCTACAAATCTGTTTTGCCATTTGTAAAGGCTTTACTTTTAGCTAGCTTGCTATTCCAGCATGGCAACTGTGGTCCTCTGTTTATTGCCTTATGTTTAGTAAATATTTTCGTTTCCTCAGTGTCAGTCAGAATTGACTGAAGCCTTATTAATTTTGAAAGAAGGCACAGTTAGCATTTGTGAGCATCTTGGAAAAGATGCTTGAATTTCCAGGGGACTCTGTGAGAACCAGCTGTGCTCAGTGTTTTCCAGCATCAGGCTTCAAGGCCACAGGTGCTGCTGGAGCTGTGAAATGCGCGTGCATGGGGGTGTGAGCACACCACTTCCCTCATGGGTTCATACAGTGTTGACTTGTTTAATTCTTAATTTAGCCTACAGGAAGCCGAATCTTGAATTTCAGTGTTTGTTTCTGCAGGAGAGAGCGAGACGAAGGGCTAAGATCAATACTGCTTGCAAAAACAGAGCAAATCAAACAGACTTAGACTTTTGTAGGATCATGCCCCAATCAACAAAGGCTCTTATATAAAAAGGTAGATAATGCCTGATTGTTTGGAAAAGCTCATTACAATTCATTGTACAAATATTTTTGTACAAAAATAGAATTCTTTGTGTGATGCAGGAATGGTTTCTTGCAGTGTAGTTGCTTGGTCTGTTGAACATGTAGTTTTCTGACATTGGAAACAACACCAAGAAGAGATGCAGAGTTTTTGGCCATTGATGGGAACTGCACTAGAGTCTCAAGGAAGTAGATCGAGAGATTTGGTTTATCCTCATTTTGAATAAGAAACAAAGACAAAGTTATCCTACTACATACAGCCATAACATGCCCTGTCAGTGTAATGAATTCAGTGTAATAAACAAAGTGGTAATCAGTACTGGCTGTCAGGAGCTTTAGCTCTGGGGCCTAGAAGTGGGATATGAGCTCTAGTCCTAGGTGGAATGTGACTTCTAAAATAGATACATAAATCAGCCAGGAAACATGTTTTATAGCAAATGCGTTAACTGCTTGGCTGGAGACATGCATGGACCCGTTTTCCTAGAGCGCACTGTATGTTTTGTACACCTAAAATAGTCATATGTGGTGTCGGAGTCTGCCTCTGAGTGTTTCCTTTTTCTTTGCTTCAGTGAACATTAACCCAGTATATTGTATTGCACGCACAAAGTGTTCTGATGGTAAATCCTGCAGGATCTTTCACACTGTCTGGGTGAAATTTGCTTTCCCATTTTTGGTGGCGTGCTGTGGCAAGGACCTTTGGGCAGGGGGGAGGAGGCTGCTTCAGAACATGCCTACCATGCTTCTATTTTCTGTTTGCATTGCAAGTTAATCACAGGCTCTTCTGTTGTAATGTATGCCTCTGAGAAGACTTTTGTTCTAGCTGTAGCTCTTCAGCCTGAAGTAGTGATTGGAGGAGGAGGTCATTAGGCAGGGCTGGTAGATCCTGCTGCTGACTGGCACGGATGCGCAGTGCAGATACCGGAATTGTTCTGATCAATGCTCTCCTGTTGTTGGCATGACAGACGGGCAAGGAGATAAACTTTTTCCCCCTTTTTATCTCCACAGCACTTCACAGAGTTCCTGGATGAGTTTTCGCCTGATGTCCTAGGACAGCTCTTGAATGATCCCTTCTTGTCTGAGAAGAATGAAATAATGGAGGTGGAACTGTCACCGGCATCACCAGCACCCCTCATCCAGGCAGAACACAGCTACTCCCTCTGTGGGGACTCTCGACCCCAGTCTCCCTTGACCCACATCTCAACCGATGACAACTTTAATGAAGGTAGTACGCACTGAGCCCTTGTTCTTTGTCGTGATGATTTAGTAATGAAATGTTCCTGGTGGAGTGATGATGCACTAAGAGTGCATGTGAATGCTCTTTGCTAATTGATATACCTACAATAAAATCACAGAAAGGATTTGTTTGTCTGCAGGCATTGTGAATAAAGAAACTTGTCCATAGACAGGGAAATTGTGCTCAGCAGAAGTTACTAACTTTGCACCATAAACGTTTTGAATTAGAAGTAAGGTGCCCATCAAAAAAAAATGGGAGAAGGGCCAGGAATACACTTGTTTCCATGTATCTGAATCTCTGGTTGTTGAAGATAAATGGAGACTGATAATCCAAATTCCTCAAACGAGGACGACCATGAAGTCTGGGTACTGTAGAACATGACATGTAAGGAAGGGGTGAGGTGGATTTTGTTTGGTCTTTTGGAGAAAAGGCAAAGGGAGAGATCTTACTGCTATGACTATCTGATAAAAAGGTTCAGAGATTACAAATCTGGACTCTTTTGAGATACACAGTGATAGCACAAGAAGTAATGGTTACAAGTAGCAAGAAAAGAAATTCCTGTTAGGAAACGTTAGGAAAGTCATTTTCACCATGAGAGTGGGTCAGACATTTGAACAGTCCAGAGAGGCTGTGAAGTCTTCTTCTGTGGAGATACTCAAAGCTGAGCTAGGCAAGGCCCTAAGCAACCTGATTCAAATTTGCCACGGTCTGAATGAGGAGTTGGGCAAGATGGTCTCCAGAGGTCCCTTCAAAGCTACATAATTCCAGGTTTATTAAAAACAAACCAACCTTTTAAACTACACTTACTTTTCAGTACTGAGTATCTGGAGCTTTCTGGTATCCCAAAATGAAAATCACATAATCTGATTTATGTTTCTAAATACACATGTAGGAATGTAACTTAAGGTGCTGCCCCAGTCTTAAAACTTGTCTTGCTGAAGTCCTAGGGTTTGGGGTTTTTTTCCCTTCTTACAAAATCAAAAAAAAAGGCAAAGAAAAAAATAATGCTCATTGGTGATCTTGTAAAGACATGACTCCAATTTTACAGATTCTGTGGTTGTGGGAAATGGTGACGCACAGAAAATGATGAAAACCAATGGCATTTTTTAGCAATTATCTTTAATTCATCAGTGTTAAACATCTGGAGGGGGAAAAAGGGAAATGCAGGAATGGTGGGAGGAAGAGATCCAGTCTGCTGCTTCTGGTGTGAAGATGCTTGCTGGCAGGAAGGTAAGTTCAAGGTAAAAGCTATTGGTTGGCAGAGGAGCAAGGCCATGAATATCTGGTAACTATTAGGAATAATCACCATGGCAGACTTTCACTCCTAATAATTGGTTTATGTCTTCAGCGTTAGCTTTACAGTGAAAAGCAGTAGAGTACTAAGGTGCATCACAATAAAAGGGAGAGACAATAGTGCTTATGTCTAAGCATTAACAAGCTAAGCTGTTTATAAAGATCCACCAGCACATGAGTTTTCAAAGGCAGTTTTGCAGTCCAAAGTACTCTCCTAAAACAAGATGTGGTCTGTTAGAGATTTCAGAAGAGGACAGCTAATAAAACCTCTGAGAAGGCATTTCAGTGTGAGACAGGGTTTTTGGGGATGATCTTGGAAACATCATCTACATAAAGCCTTCACATTTTATATTTCCGAACTGGTTTATGTGAATATGTTTAAATTAATACATACAGAAGGTAGTAATTGTGGCAGGAGGAACAAGCACAAGAAACTTCAGAAGCCAAGCTTCTCTGGAAGGTAATAGGGAGAAGCTTCAAACTAGGCTAAAAGTGAGCAGAGTTTCCTTTGGGGAAAAATCCTGAAGAAATTCATACTGCTGAGACCACTGGGTAATTAATAGAGCTCTAGTCAAATGATGTTTTAAAAAGCCAAGAAATGTTAAGAAGTGAGTTTAAAAATAGAAAATGAATGGAAAGCATTTCATCCTCTGTTCACTCTGCAGAGTGTTTCATAAGAGAGGAGGAGGAGAAGGAGTTGTTCTTGGTGTTTGGGATTTGATTTAATCTTAACACTGAAATCATGCTCATGACCTTTCAATACCTGTCGACTTCAAAACAGTAAAGCTCAGAGAAGTACTTGGGGAAATTATAGAATTACAGTTAACATGTCTGATAGATATTCAAAGACATCTCCCTGATTATTTTTTGGTCCTTGAGACCGTGAGAGCAGGAGAGGGGCATTTTGTGGGTGGCAATACTGCAGGATTTGACACTGGAGATTGAAAGCATTTCTGTTGTTAGATGGTGGAGCTACACAGTGCTCTTGACAACTCTGGTGAATGCCAGTCCCCTTGGTGGAGTAAGGGGACAGATACTGGGAGCACTAGTGTCCTTTTGGGGAGCAGGAGGTACAGGGTGTGGAGAGGGAGGTCCATGTGCTCCAATATGAGCTCCTGCTGCCAGGGAACTGGGAGTGGTTTTGTGGGGTAGCAGGGGCTGAGAAACAAGGTTGTCTGAGGGACTTACATAAAGAACATGCAAAAAAATTACATTCTCCAAATAACCACCCCACTGGGCAGACTGGTGAGCTCTTACAGCTGTTGTGTTTTCATGGTTTTTCCATGGTGAGGCTTCATGATTCTGCAGGACCCTGCCCTGCAGGACTGGGAGTAGAAACAGGCTAGTGAGGAGGCTAATGTATGACGCATGCATGTGTGCACACATGCTATGGACACACATGCTATGGACACACGTGCTGTGGACCTGCGTGTCTGCAGCCAGCAGCAGTGTGAGGAGGAGGAGGATGGCGCAGAGCAATTAAGCTGGGTCTGGATGCCATTTCAGAGCTTTGCCCTTAGCTCTAGAGGACTGAGGGCCTGGTGGTGTGCACAAAGCACGTAGCAAACAGGCCTTGTTCTTGCTTTGCAGGGAAGTCAATAACGTGACATTTCTTCTTTGTAACTCTTGTACCAGTTGTCCTGGCAGTGAGCGCTGGCGGGTTGTTTCCCGGGGTGTGCAGAAATGCCATCCCCTCCTAGGCCAGTGGGCGTTCATGGGCAGGCAAAGACAGGGCAAGTGCAAGGAAGGGGAAAACCCCGGGTTTTCTAGGGCCAGGCCTAGAAAATCTAATCTTATTAAACTAGCCCACATGGCTAGATAACGCGTATTTGGAAGTGGCGCCTGTTACACTAGCAGTTGCTCTGGTAGTGTGACCTGCAGCTGCAGACTCCTTTCAGCAAAGGCAATGTGTGCTAGCATATGCTGAGATGCAAGCTGGCTCCCCGTGTCACCTCTTAACTTGGTGCATGTTAATTGTGTAACGCTTGTCGGCTGCTCAGCCCTTGAGTGCCATTTCTGTGC